TACTACTACTACTACTACTACTACTACTACTACTACTACCACTACTACTACTACTACTACTACGACTACTACTACTACTACTACTACTACTACTACTACTACTACTACTACTACTACTACTACTACTACCACTACTACTCATTAGCCATGCGTTTTTGACTATGTTTGTTACCACTACCATACGTATTCATAGTATGGCCAGTATTATTCTTCGTTACCGCTTTTTGATTGCTATACTGAATGTACCAGCAGTGCGAATAATCATGGTGCTAATGCTATAGCAGCAGTGATAACGCTACCACTGATACGAATACAAATTACTAGACCAACTGTAGGTATTACTACTACTACTACTACTACTACTAGTATTACTACTACTACTACTACTACTACTACTACTACTACTACTACTACTACTACTACTACTACTACGACTACTACTACTACGACTACGACTACTACGACTACTACTACTACTACTACTACTACTACTACTACTACTAACAGTATTAACAACATGACGTGCCGTCCACATGTGTGTACAATGTGTGTATACGTATACATACATATATAGAGAGAGAGAGAGAGAGAACTCAAAGCTGCTTGTGTATGTGCGAGCGGGTATGAACTCTCAACGTCTCGTCCCCTCCAGGGGTCGATGGCTGAACGAAACCAGCGAGTCCTCCCGCAGACGACCATGCTGAAGACGATGTAGGTCTATCGAAAACTCTGCCAACGTCAATATGTAGGTGGCGCCCCCCCGAAGTTACAAAATATAATGCACAATGTGTGGGATGACGCCGGGACGGCGCGGCCAGAACGGCCTGAGAGGAACTGGCCCGAGCCCAAGCGGCAACGGAGTAAATGTGAGCGGGAGCAGGACGAGGAGCATGGCTGGGGGCGACACCTGAGATGAACAGGGTTGTCGAGGAAGGGGCGGGAGGAGGGAGAACGAGGTGAATGAGTAGCGGGAAGAGGAGGAGGAGGAGGAGGAGGAGGAGGAGGAAAAGTGCCGATGAGGAGGGCCGATGAGGGAGGAGGAATGGGAATACGAGGCGGAGGACGAGGATGAGCGGAGAGAGTATGAGGCGGAGAGAGTGGGAGGAGTCCAAGAGGGGAGGTAGTCAAGAGGAGGGAAAGGAAAAGGAGAAGCAGCAGGAACTCCTGACACAACAACATGTGAAATGTGGTCCATGTGCGAGCATGCTGCACTGCAGGCAGCGAAAGATCGCGATCTAGCGTTGTAGTACAAGTGGAAGCGGCCTGGTGAAGCCCCAGCCCGAGAGCACTGCGACCCATCCGCGACCAAACCCTCCGTTTCATTCTCGGATGCCCCGACCGCGTGGCCTCCGCAACGCGAATCTACCCACCGGCTAAACCTCCGACCACCACCAGACCGCCACGACCACGTCCGCTCTCATCTGCGGCTGTGCAGGCGCGGAGGCGCTGATTCTCCCCAAACCTTTCTCTCTCACATCGGAGCGAGCCTGCCGACCAAGAGCAGCAGGCCCGCTCTGTGAATCGTCCTGTCTCCCCAAAGCCAGCGTCTTGCCCCTCATGGGCGCGAGCCCGTCGACAAGACCCAGGAAAATTGCCGACACACCAGGGCCAAGCGTGCTCTCTTACCCGACTGTTTCCTCAAAACACTGTGCCTCCCCCGCACTTGCGCGACCCTTTTTTTTCGCAAGCTCGGGTGCCCAGGAGGATGTCTGCTCCCCTCAGCTCGCCGCCGGCGCTCTCCGGGTGCGTCGCCTCCGCCTGTGGCTCCCGCAGAACGAACAAACGAAACGCCGACGCTGTGCGCTACTCTGTAAATCTGGCGCGCACGCGTCTGGTCTACCCGCGCAATGCTGCTCTTTGGCAGCACTGCAGCGAAAAAAAAACTGCATGAGCGCATGAGGCTCGTCTACGCCACATGCGGTAGGGACTCGTCCACACGCGCATCTGAAGCATACAGATTTACCAGTGATCGCCTGGAGTATATGACTATAGACTATAGAGCAGCGCGGGCTCAGGTCAGAGCTGCTCCTCTGGCGCAAAGTGCTGGCCGAGCACGCCTCGCGCGCCGGGCTCTTGTGGTGCACAAATTGGGCCAGTCGCGTCTAAATAACGGAGCTGGCATTCCGTCGAGGTTGCTGCATTCTCCCGTTTGGGCTCCTCGGCCCACGGCCTCGGGCCACGCGCGGCGCGCGCGCGCAGGCCGGCGCGGGCCCTCAGGCAACGCGGGGCGCGTACGGGAGCGGCGCGCCGAACCTGCAGGCGGCCGCGCCGGGCCCGCCTTGCGCCGCCAACGCGGGGCCCGGGCGCCCCAGCGGGAGCGCGCCCCGCGGGTGCCCTGCGGGCGCCGCGATCGCCCCCGCCGGATGCCACGCGCCGCCCAGCCGCACGCACACGACGAGCGCCCCGCCCGGCCGCGGCGTCAGCGCCGGCGCGCCGAGGCGCGGGGACGGCGGCGGCACGGCCAGCGCGGCGAGCGGGGGCGCCGGCGGCGCGACGCGGGAGCTCGCCGGCGGCGCCGGCGCAAGCTCCTGCAAGGGCGTGGCCGCGCCCAGCGTGCGGCGGCGGGTGGACCGCCTGGACGAGCGCCGCGTGCGGGGCGACGAGTCGTCCTCGGAGAGCTCGTCCTCGTCACCCTCCTCGATGTAGCTCTCCAGGTTGTACCTGACGTGCTGCAGGTAGGAGCTGAAGGCCTTGTCTGCTTGTTTGGCGCCTGACACGGCCGCCTCCTTCGTGGACTCTGCCAGCGCGTGCAGGTGGGGCCTCGCCCGCTCCGCCAGCGCGGCCGTGCCGCTCAGCGCCGCGCGGCCAGCGCGCGCCGTGGCGCCGAGCGCCGCCTGCCCGGCCAGGCCCGTCACCTCAAGCAGCTGCTCCGCGGTCGTCGCGCGCGCGAGCTGCGGCCGCGGCGGCCCAGCGGCCGGCCCGGGCAGCGGCTCGCTGGTCGCCCGCGTCAGCTCCCGACGCGGCGCCCTGCCGGCGCTTGGGGACTTCTCGCCCTCGCCCTCCTCAAAAGCGTTGAGGGAGACGGAGCGGACACCCGACAGCAGCACCGGCAACCCGCCGTCGCAGTCCCTCGTCGAGGCTACGCTGCGGGTGGAAGGGGAGTCGCCCCGCGGCGTCCGCGTGGTCGTCACAGACGCCCTGCTGACGCAGCGGGAGGGGACGGGCACGCGCCTCGCGCCGCACGCGTGGCAGAAGGAGGCGTCGTCCAGCAGCGTGCAGCCGCAGGCGCACACGCAGGCAGCCCCGCGGCCGCTGCCGGAGGTGCTGCCGCCGAGGCCGCCGCGGCCGCGGCCGCCCGCCGCGAGCGCAAGCAGGTCGGCGGGCAGGCATGCGCCGAGGCAGGAGGCCATGTTGGAGCGGCGGGCGGAGTGAGGATATGCGCAGAAGGCACCTGCACTTGAGCATGCGTAACAGGGTCCCGCACTTGCGCGACCCTGTTACCCGAGCGTAACAAGCGTCATGGACACATTGAACACGTTATTGATTCCGCTTCCCGGCGACATTCTGTCCACAATGCGGGCTTACGCATCCCTACCGCAACAAGCGCCACTGGAATGACTTGAGCCCATCGCCGTGACAAGGCACCGCAAGCACCATTAGAACACCGAAGACGCAACAGATCAGCAAATTGGATTTTCGCAAAATTGCGCCCTCCACCGCAAGACCGCCAATCGACAAGCCAACCAAGCAACCAACCAACCAACCAATGCAACAACCTACCAACCGCCCAACCGACCCACCACCAGCCCATCCACCTGTCCAGTTGGCAACAACCAATCCATCAAGCATCCAAGCAGCCCGCCAGCCACAAAACCAGCCAGCCAATAAACCGTCCAGCAAGCCAGTCAGCCAACCGCCAAACCAAGCTTGCAACCAATAACCCATATCTGCGCAAACCTTTCAAACACCGGAAAGCAATTCCGGGTTGCACAATATTTCTTGCTTGACCGTTCCGCCAAATCCTCTTGACCATAGAAACATACGAGCCGTTCGCGAAGGAGGAGGGGGAAGAGGAGGCGAAGGAGGATGACACGGGCATGAAGGGACAGGGGCAGTAAGGAAAAGAAGGCACCCGTCGTAACTCGGGTCTCCGGCGGCCGTTCGGGAACGAACACCCCAGGAAAGCGTCCCGAGACAGGAGAACTTCCCGGGACCAACGAACACGCGCGAGCGCCCCTGGGCCTATACCCCTCGAGCCTGCCTCCCCCGAAGCTGCCCTGACCCATCGCCCCACCCGAACATTATGTGATCGATCCTGGAAGCTCTTTTTGACATGATATGTCCTGGATTCGTGCGATGTCGCGCTTTTTCTAATGCCTTTTACGAAGGGGCCCTGGGACACACAAATACATACACACAAATAACAGGATTCCCTTATATTTCCATATATGTTCTGGGTTTTTGTCTTCCCCCCCACTTCCCATATTTCCCCATATTTTCTGGGGAATCGACGATTAATTGTTTCTGTGTGTTTTTTGTCCCTCCTGAAACTCATGGGAGCCCCCCCTACCATCTCGCTGCCTCTCGCGAATCGACGCTGACCGGCGCTAACCGGCGCCAGTCGACGACAGTCGACGCCAAGCGACGCGCAACCGACGCCAATCGACGTCGACGCGAATCGACGCCAAATCGACGCTGAATCGACGCCGATCGGCGCTAGATCGGCGCCTCCTCATCGATTACCAGACGCTTGTCGACGCCAGTGCGCCCGAAAGACGGAACTACGAGGACACGCGGGGCTCCCAGGACTTGTTGCCGAAGGTCTCCCTGGTGGTATATACGGCGGAGGCATTGAATAAGGAAGCCTTGGATGAGGAATCTGGGGTCTGGAAGCCAGTGGAACTCCAATATGTGTGTGTCGGCCAGGGGCATCGCCACCGCCCTCATCAGCTGAGGATTCCTCCAGGGTCTGAAGCCTCCTGGGCACATTCCTTAACCAATGCCCCCACCGTAGTGGTGGTGGTGGCGCCGCCCCTCCTCCCTCCGAAGCAAGAGCGGCACGCCTGGCGCAGCGGCCGCCCCGGCGGAAGCCTCTGCGCCGAGGCCGCCCGCCTCGGCGGCGGCGGCGGCGATTAGCCGGGCCTCCTCGCGCAGCCGCTCGGCCTCCGCGCGGGCCAGCCGGGCCTCCTCGCCAAGCCGCGCGACCTCGGGCCCAACCACGGGAGCGTCATCGTCGCGACGTCGCGTCCACGGCGGCCTCGCGCGACTCCACGTGTGGTTGGAAGTTCGAGGTCGTCGGACGCTTCTGTGCAGCCGCGAAGGTTTGCGAGCCTCGCGATGCTTTCGAGCATCTTCGTCTCGCCCAGGGCGTTCCGGGGGTGACCAGATCGTCCCGATCGGCTGCCAGATAATGAGTTATGACTACAAAACCGAACATCCCCTCGTGAAAAAAACACGACGCGAAGTTGTTGGGCAGTGTTCTGCCTCTGGGGGCAATTGCCAGGCCCCTGGGCCGACAAGAGCCAACTCAGGATGAAGAGCCGGTCCTGGGAGAAGTGGTCTGAGATCCTGCGGTCCACGCAGCGAACAAAAACAACAGCACGACAACGACGTCGGAGGTCTGAGAAGGCAAGGTGTACACCACCATGCGGGCCAGCTTAAGAGTTTCGGAGCTGGGCCAAACCTTGGTGCACACACCGTCATCGTCGCCGTCGTCACTCGTCACCATCGTCGTCACTGTCGTCGTCGCTCGTCGCCGCCGCGGGTCGTCGTCGTCGTCGACGACGACGCGGGACGTCGTCGTCGTCCTCCTCCTCCTCGTCGTGGTCGTCGCCGCCGTCGCCGTCGCCGTCGCCGTCGCCGTCGCCGTCGCCGTCGCCGTCGCCGTCGCCGTCGTCGTCGTCGTCGTCGTCGTCGTCGTCGTCGTCATCCTCGCCGCCGCTGGTCTCGTCATTGTCGTCGTCGTCGTCGTTGTCGTCGTCGTCGTCGTCATCGGAGTCGCTGCCGCCGCCGCCGCCGTCGTCGTCGTCGTCGTCATCGTCTTCGTCGTCGTCGTCGCCGTAGCCGACCTGCTCGCGCTCGCGCGCGACCTGCTCGGCGATCACCGCCACCTTCGGTGAATCAAAGCCTGGGGTCCTGAGGGATGGGTTCCAAAGGTCGAGATGCCTCAATCAACGTAACTCCACCCTTGGACCCCCGACGTCGTGATTTTGTTCGCAACGTCGACCCCCAGAGGTCTGGACCCCTTCCCTGGGACCAATGTTTCATCCTAACTCCTTTTTTGGACGGTCCCGAGGCCGGGTAAGGGCCCCCAGGGGCCGAAAATGGCGAAAACCTCCCGTGGTGATTTTTTCGGGACGCGAGGGGGTCTGGGCTTGGATCCTGTCCTATCCTTACGGCCCAGCCCCTCAGGACCCCCTCTTTGAACCACCGCCACCTGCTCCTCGGCCGACAGCAGCGACGCGGGCCCGCCCTCGGCCGCCGCGCAGGCGGGCCCCTCCTGTGCCACAGGGGAGGGGTGGCCTCCTCCTCCTCCTCCGAGCGAGGGGCAGGGTGAGCAGGGACAGCCCCTCCCAGCATTCCTGCAGGGCCTACCCTGAAGATCTCCTAGAACAAATAGAACGTTCTCAGAACACACACACACACATACACGTGTCTTAGAACATGAGCTGCCGCTGCTGCCCCAAGCACAGCAGATGCTGCTGCGCCCAGTGCCAACGTTGGGACGCGCACTGAGCGCAGCACCCACCCCACGAACCGCCAGCGAAGTGACCCGGGTCCGCGCGGAGACCGGCCGCCGCCGGGCCCCTCCCCGATGCGTGGGCGATTTCGAAAACCCTGAACCCCGAAACGTTTCCTTCTCTTGGGGGTGCACTGTTTCCTTCCGCCGCCTTCCGCCGAGCTTCTGCCGGCTTCCGCCGGCGTAGGCGACCTCGTTTTACTTCCGGCGACCTTCCGCCGCGAAAGAGATGACAACTCCTTCGATCCTCAAAGGCAAGGGCCTTTATGGAACGCCTCGTGTGAAGACATAAGACCTGGCACAAAGAGCAGAAAACTGGAGGGATGGGGCAGATGTCAGCTGTGGCGTGAGCCTCCGTACGGCCACGAGCTCTGCGCAGCCTGTCGTGGCGGCGGCCCGGCGATACGCCAGGGCCATGGCCTTCAAGCGGACAGCGTGTCGCTCTGCCCCGCAGGGCGGGGGGCTGCCAGAAGATCGGGACGCTGAAGCCTGGGCACCAGGATGTGCATAGCATGTCGCGCCGAAGCGGGGTGGGCCAAAACCGGCGGTCCCCTCTCCTGCGTCATCCCAATCCCCTTCCCTCCCCTTCCTTCCCTTCCGCCTCTTCCCTGTATTTAATATTCACGATCCTGCGCAAATCCTCCGTATCCCCTCCACAATTACTCAATATGAATACTACTCTCCCTCTTCCACTGATGGCGTGCTGGGAGTGGCCGACCCCCCCCGCGCACTGTTTTTCCCAACCATCCTGTGGTGTTGGGTCCTCGTTTTGAAGAGACAGCGCCCCGCGTCCCACCTTCTCCTCCTCCTCTCCTCCGTGCTGCCGTCCGCATGCGTCCCGCACACCCATTTCGGCACACCCCTCACACGTTTCGTGGCCCCACAGGGAGCTCCACCGAAGGCCCCAGTGCTGCCGTCCGCATGCGTCCCGCACACCCATTTCGGCACACCCCTCACACGTTTCGTGGCCCCATAGGGAGCTCCACCGAAGGCCCCAGTGCTGCCGTCCGCATGCGTCCCGCACACCCATTTCGGCACACCCCTCACACGTTTCGTGGCCCCACAGGGAGCTCCACCGAAGGCCCCAGTGCTGCCGTCCGCATGCGTCCCGCACACCCATTTCGGCACACCCCTCACACGTTTCGTGGCCCCATAGGGAGCTCCACCGAAGGCCCCATGGTTGCCGTCCGCATGCGTCCCGCACACCCATTTCGGCACACCCCTCACACGTTTCGTGGCCCCACAGGGAGCTCCACCGAAGGCCCCAGTGCTGCCGTCCGCATGCGTCCCGCACACCCATTTCGGCACACCCCTCACACGTTTCGTGGCCCCATAGGGAGCTCCACCGAAGGCCCCATGGCTGCCGTCCGCATGCGTCCCGCACACCCATTTCGGCACACCCCTCACACGTTTCGTGGCCCCACAGGGAGCTCCACCGAAGGCCCCAGTGCTGCCGTCCGCATGCGTCCCGCACACCCATTTCGGCACACCCCTCACACGTTTCGTGGCCCCATAGGGAGCTCCACCGAAGGCCCCCCATGGCTGCCGTCCGCATGCGTCCCGCACACCCATTTCGGCACACCCCTCACACGTTTCGTGGCCCCACAGGGAGCTCCACCGAAGGCCCCAGTGCTGCCGTCCGCATGCGTCCCGCACACCCATTTCGGCACACCCCTCACACGTTTCGTGGCCCCATAGGGAGCTCCACCGAAGGCCCCATGGCTGCCGTCCGCATGCGTCCCGCACACCCATTTCGGCACACCCCTCACACGTTTCGTGGCCCCACATGGAGCTCCACCGAAGGCCCCAGTGCTGCCGTCCGCATGCGTCCCGCACACCCATTTCGGCACACCCCTCACACGTTTCGTGGCCCCATAGGGAGCTCCACCGAAGGCCCCATGGCTGCCGTCCGCATGCGTCCCGCACACCCATTTCGGCACACCCCTCACACGTTTCGTGGCCCCACAGGGAGCTCCACCGAAGGCCCCAGTGCTGCCGTCCGCATGCGTCCCGCACACCAGGTGTGTGGCGTGCCGACATGGGCGTCGCGGCGCGCGGGCGCTGCCGTCGGGGTTCCCAGGGAAGCCCCCTGCAGAGGCGACGCTCAGAGTCACGAGTACCGAGAGTCACGCAGACCCAAACTGTTCACAGTCGTATACATACATTTACACTGGGCGTATCCATGCACGCATTCATGCGAATAGAATCAATCGCGCGCAGATTCATTCATAATCAGACTCGCTCGCGATCCGACTCGCACGCGCTCAAGCTTTCATATTCGGACCTATCGTTTTCGTTCGTGTTGTGTACACTGCCACGCATTTCGGCACACCCTTCATACGGTTCGTGGCCCCATAGGGAGCGCCACCGAAGAAGATATTCACAATTGCGGTACTCTCAACTGCATATGGTTGGGTCCTTCGCCAAGCTAATTTTACACACAGGATTCCCGGGAGTTGGGTTTTCGCCTGCGTTTTTTGTCCCAACCATCCTGTGGTGTTGGGTCCTCGTTTTGAAGAGACAGCGCCCGCTCACGCTCCCGCTCCTCCTCCCCCTCCTCCCTCTTCCCTCCTCCCACCATCATCATCGTCATCATCCTCCATTTCGGCACACCCCTCACACGTTTCGTGGCCCCATAGGGAGCCCCACCGAAGGCCCCAGTGCTGCCGCCCGCATGCGTCCCGCACACCCAATTCGGCACACCCCTCACACGCTTCGTGTCCCCATAGGGAACCCCA